ACCACTATAGATTCAAGATGAATTATACATTGAAGCTGAATGTTGCTCTTCGACGGTCTTCAAAACTGTTGATGTTCAATTCCAGAAGAGATTCAATCATTGGAATCCACATATTATGCTATACAAATTCACCCACATATTCCAGGAAGTTCAAGTAGTCATAAACAATAAACACTACTAGTCGTTGTTATTGACCACCAGGCTAGGATCTAGATCTTGATTCTTAATTCACATTCAACTATAGTAATATGAAATTGAGAAACAAAATTAAATACTGGAAAGTTTCAAAGGAACCACTTTAAATAAAATTATTAGCAAAAAACTGAAAAATAAAATGGAACCTCAACGCCCTATATCTTTTTCCACAGCAATATTTTATTTGGTCCTATCGCCATATATTTTGGTCCAAACAATCCGTGATAGCCTATGTCCCAATAGTTATGACTCATACTACATTCGAAAGCAAATAATTGAAAAGTGAGTTTCTATCAGGTAAACAGGATAAAAAATATATCTACGAAATCTACGAGCAGATTATTTTAATCTTTGAAGGCGCGTTTTCGCATTATCACTAGGTATACTATTTCAATTCAGTGATATCTTATTTCCAGTATTCCTTTATCTTATCAGTTTTCAGTACATACATATAATAATTTGGGAAACAAATTTGTGGAGTAGAAGTGGAAATCTGGAGACCTTATAACCATCCATCGTTATAAACAGTGTGATCTGATATTGTTAGTGTTGATAGTACTTATTTCATGTCAGTTTGTCCACCATTGACTTTTGGAAGTAGGGTATCACAGATTGGATTGTATACTTATAGATAGTGAATTCGGTAAGTTGGTATGTGGTATGTGGCAGTTCTGAGCTGAAGCATTAATGTTGATGTGGTATTTTACCACATGTCACCGGGTCGCTTTCTTGCCTGTCTTTCAATCTGTTTGTATGTGTAAATGAGAATTTGTAAATTGAACACGGGCGCCTGCTAGTTACAAGGAAAAATAGGTTTTTCCCGAACTATTTTTGGGGTCAGGGATCTGGAATTTTCATTGAAAATTCGAAAATTTGAGATGGCTCACGAATACGATATTACTCATCCAATTTGATGCCTATACTTGTCGAGTAGAACGGATTTCTGGACCAAATTTTGAAGAAGAATTCGTTCACTGCTTCAAAATCTGAATATCAAAATGGTGAATTCGAGACCAAATCATAGAAACATCCTGTAACTCACGGTTTTATAAAAAAACATGTTTTCTACTCCCGTATTACAATATCAATCAATCAAATATCTGCTACATATTTATCAATATTGTTTTTCGACCACCAACCTGAGAATTGAGAAATCACCATTATTCGAGGTTTTTCTCTGATAAGAAGTAACACTTCTCAAACCTAGGTAAATAATGATGAATTGATAAAGCAATTTTACCGAGGCAGATGAGAAACTGTCAATAGTGTCAACGATATTATGCAATATACACAATACACATAGATACCGATGCGTATGCTACCAATGAAAATTCTTGAAACCAAATATAGTTGGAACTACAAATCTCATTACAGCTGAAAGCGATTTCTGAAGTATGAAAAATGTTGGGAATAATCTGATTATCAATAATTGCAATAAAAATGTCACAACCACGATGGAGGGAAGACACAACCAAATCATACAAGGTGATGGAATTTCCTAGCGACGTCCATTGTTCGCGGCCCGTCGCTACGTCTGGGGCCGTATTCTCGACAAGTGAGCTTTTTGTCGTATACGCATCAAAACGAATGGTTCATGTGCGAGTACTTTTTCGTATAATGCATTTGTATACAACCGTTTTCCTGGAAGCGGCGCGACTCGACGTCCCAACGTCCAGCCGTCAGCGGCTGCGTCTCGACTGCTCAAAAGCATGTCTAGACGCGAACGTAGACTCCAGACGTTACTGAATTCAAAGCAGAGTGGTTGAATATTAGTATTAGAAAATGTCTCGAACAAGTTCGTGAATTTTCATATATCTATGACCATGCAAACAAAGATTTTAAAGATCATAAAATTCGGGAAAATGTGTGGGACCAAATTGCCACAGTTTTGTCCTAATAAGTTTCGGTGGTAACGCAACAACTCGCTTGATTTAGCGAGATCTCGCTCGTTTTCAACTCTGCTAGTAGGCCACATAGATCCCTAACAACACGAGTACGTCCCAGGGACGTCCCAGGGACGTCCTTCATTTTCTACGAGGACGTCCCTGGGATATCCTGTGTCGAGACATGGTACATACTAGGGACGTCCCAGGGACATCTGCTTTCCAGAAAAAGAGGCATCCTAGGGATATCCTTCTGGTACGTTCCTGGGATGTACCAAGTACGAAGAAATGATATCCCTAGGACGTCCCAAGGATATCCCAGGGACATCCCTTCGACAAAAGAAAAAAAAATGTAGGTCGAGAACGGATTGAACCCGGGACCTTTGGTTTATCAGGCACGCATCTTACTCCATTGGCTATTGAGCCTTCTGAAAATTTATGTACTCAACAGATTTATAAACAAAACTTAACTACAGAAACCTGAATAAATACAACTTGGTTAGGATTTGGGTATAATTATTATATCATTCTCGGGTGTTTAAAAATGAGGGGCATTATGCATGTACGATTTCTGTTCGCGAAAAATGGTAATTTCTTAAGAAGTTCTGAAACTTTATTCTTTATTTTCATTACGATTATTTTCCGGAAGAAAAACAAACATTTTCAAAAAAATGCAACTTGATATTTTGATTAAATTCAATGACTCTGATGTGAATGGATATCAGATATTCCAGGGACACGAATAGGATAACCTGAGGATGTACCGGGCGGGATGTCCACTGGACAACCACTGCGCGACATCCCCAGGATGCCCCAATCATGTCCTTGTGGACGTACCTAGGACATCCCTGTGTTGTTAGGGATTAGGCGCAATATGAATCATATTTAACCAACGTAGGTGATCCAAAACTTACCTACAGTGGTGGAGGTGATATAAATGACTTTGAGCTTTTTGCATTTATTCAAGATGTCATTCCCTAATAACACACTCATGTCCCATAGATATCCTTAGGACATCCTGTCGGGACATTCAGGACGTCCATAGGACGTTCGAATTTGGTACTGTGGACTTCCATTGGACGTCTGTGGGACGCACAAATATCCCACTTTAGGACCAATTAGGGACGTCCTTGAGAGATGATGTCCCTGGGACAACTATCGAATACCAAAATTCTACAGAATTCCTCATCAAACACTAACAGAGGACATCCTTAGGACATCCATAGGACAACCTATCAGCAATGCTGAGGGATATCAATTGGATGTCCATCGGATGTCCCAGGGACGTAAACATTAATCTTGAATTTGAATTTTTCTGGGTCCCTCTAGGACCAGATCTTGCATAACTGATTAGAACATCCAGTTGAGTTGATGGTCCGTAGAAGGTCCCCAAAAAGTTTCCAAAGGATGTCCAATGGACTAACTTGAAGGACATTGACAAGGAGGGACCACATATTGGAAGTACGGACTGGGACGTCCATAGGACGTTATTTCTGAGAAATTAGAAGAGTACAGTTCATGTACCAATCGGGAAATCCGACAGATATCCCTAAGGGACATTCGAAGGATGTCCCTAAGGGACATTTCGATTGTTATACGATCCTGGGAATATTAAGGGCGTCTGTGCGGAGATATTTGAAGGAATGTGCCATCAGGGACATTTCATGGTTGTCTAGAAGAGACATTATATGAGATCTGAAGTCATGCCAGAATATGTTCTACTCGGGACATCCGATGGATGTCCCTAAACGTACGTTCAAAATCATATCCCATCAGGAACATGCCAAGGACGTCCTTGCATGGACATTCTAAAATATGTACCACGTGAGACGTCTATAAGGGGTGCTATTTCTAGGATATTTGAAATGATGTACCAGCTGGGACATTCCGTGGACGTCCTTGCTCGGACATTGCATTGAGATGTACGGGATGGGTTCTACTTCGACCATTTTTGGCTATTTCGTAGTTCATTGCTAGGAATGATGTATACTCTTTGATCCCGGATTGATTCAGATAGTGGTGCCCGCGACAGTCTCGTTTTCGAGAGTCTCGCATGGTCTCGTCTTGTTTTCGAGACAAGACTCGAGACGAGACTCGGATAAGATGAGACGAGACTTTTATTGTCTCGTCTCGAGTCTCGTGCTAGACTTCTAGTCTCTCGTGCGAGAGTCTCGCAGGTAAATATTTCTGCGTGCCGACTGCAGACTTGAGAATTTCATTCATAATACAACATATTCAGAAAGTATTCAGACTTTTTAGCACAGATAGACAAAACATTTCATTTATGAATACTTCAAAAACACAATCCATGATTGTTGTGGAACGACGTAATGCGGACGACTATTCTCTCTCTTACGGCGGCGGAATATGAAGGCAATTCTGCAATAACGACAGATCGCAAATTGAATGACTACCTACACCTACCTACCTGACTTTGAGAAAGTCTCGTCTCGTTGGTCTCGTTTGTCTCTCACTAGATTTAGGATTTAGATAACACTAAAATAAATACTTATGTACCCAGTGTGCTCACGAGTCGATGAATTGACTTCAACGAGACTTTTGTTTTCCTGTTCCAAGTTTTCAAATCTGCGAATAACTTGCAACATCGACATTTTTTTCAAATATCTTCCTATAACGACTGAACCGGCGAGGATAAATATCTGCGTAGTTGTATAAAAAAAAATAGTACATTCATTCATACATCTCCTGGGATAGGCAAAATTCCCTACCATGAACAATAACTTTGCCACGTGTATTTGTTCCTGAAGAATGTTCCAAGTATTTCCATTCTACGGCATTTATTGAGGAAAATCAATCAATAACATCATTAATGTTTGCCTTCCTTTTTTCATGTGATCAATATCAAGATTGAATACTTTATTATATTGAAATAATCATTTGATTTAATTTCAGAAAGAAAAAATGAGCAATCCAGCAGATCACCCGGGTGAACAGGTGAGTGGAAGTCTGCTGATTTGATTCAATTTCATACAGAGTGCTCTTTGATTGATGATAGTCTGTTTTTCACTACAAAATATTCAAATTTGAACCATCTCAGGCTTTAATGATATATTATTAATTTGAGAGATACTGAAAGTATGAATAATGAATATATTTCCTAACATATTTTCCGCAATAACTTCGTCGTTGTTATACCATGGATGGAAAAGCAACGTTTGGCAGTTGAAGAAAAAATTATTATAGCTGTAGATTTCAGAAGGAATAATTATTTTCATGATAACGAATGGCTCGTTCATGTTGATAAATGCTCCGTGAAATAGTCCATGTTCTGAATACCTCCTCATCATTTTGTCTTATTGTAATTCAATGGGGTTTAACACATCATGACGAAACAATGAAACAAGTCACTTGTACCTACTTTGAAAGTGAATTATTATTTCTGCTTGCTGAAATGTGAAGATGAGTACACATTTCCATTGGCTGATGAAAAGTTCGTATAACAATGATGGTGCTTATAATGATGGAAATAAGATGGTGTGCGTAGTCGGCCATTTTTACGTATTGACAACTTAAGAAAAATCACTCGACCGCCTATTATGATGGTATTCAAGGTACGCGGAACATATGTAACAGTGAATTATTTAACTCTGTATTCAAAAAATCTGCGGCAATTCAAAAAATTGACTGATGTCATAATTGTGCAATGTCGTCATCTATCCGAAAACAGCTGAAAACATTGTTCACGGGACTCTCGGGAGGTCGAGAAGAATTTCTGAAACAAAAGCGCATCAGTTATCGGTATATCACGTTGTCGAGAGCTAACGTTTTTGAGAGATGAGTATAATCATAAATGCAACATATAAATGTTTATCATGATTCTGATCAAAAATGAATGACTATAAAATTTATACATACGAGGGTTATTGTAAAATAGTTTTGTTGATTATTTCGACTATACAGGGTGTGCCGAATCAGCCTGCCAACCTTCACCAGCGGCTTTTTCTACCAAAAATACGAAGAAAAGTTCCAATGAACATAAGTGGATGATTTCACCAAACAATTGCGAACAGGCGTGCGTACAATAGAAAATAATGATAAGAAACTACTTGAGTTTTGGTGAATTTTTGTTCCATTTACTACGATTCATATATATATATATGTATGTGAGATATAACAATATTTTTAAATCGATCTTACGCGCAAACTATGCATGTGATCGATACAGAATAAGAGCACCTTGTTTTGTGTAAAGAGGTGTGGGTTTTCATAATCCGAGATTGAATTGTCGAAAAATTTTCGAATAAGAAATAAATTGAGCCATATTTGATGTAGTCTCTGTTATTATATTCTGTCGAATAACATTTTGGGAGAATTTTTTTCTGTATTGGGCATGGAAAGTTAAGTTTTTGTACCGAAATGCATAATTTTATCACATGGCGTTTCGGAAATTTTCAAGGGGGCCGTAGCTCATTTTGGGGACATTTACTGACTCATATTAATTGGAACTTGTTTCTTCCTATTCTGGTCGTAGAGATATGGCAGGCTGATTTCAGGTCACCCTGTAAAGTCGAATTCATTCCTCATAACTATTTCATGTTATTCCTTCCATGTATTTATATAATTTGATTTTTTTTTAAATCATAATAGAGAGAGAGAATATGCTTCATTGTCTGAAGATGAAAAATCTTATTGACAAAGTAAGTCAAAATAATAATCTGATGAAAAATAAAAATCGAAAGGAGAAGTAGAGGTATTCGCCATCATAACACCACATCATTTCAAAATCAATTTGAAATTTGAACACTCTACTAGGTACTCTAGTTCATAAGATACATTACTACATATCAAAATATTCATCATTGAAAAACTTTTGTAAACTATAATAGGGTTTACCCGAAAATAGTGTTCTTATTCTCTGTTTGAAATTTTTATTGGATCCAAGTTCTTTGATATCTCTTGGCAAATGATTGAACATCTCACAGCCTACATCAATCATTGAATCTCTAACTAGAGCCGACGATGGGATTGGTGACTTGATGTTACCAGCTTGTCGGGTGGCATTTAGTGTAAGGGTAGTGTCAAATTTTCCTAGATGTTCTTTAATTGAACAGACCGTTTCCATGACAAAGATCGCATAAACTGTTGAAATTTTGTGTTTAATAAAAGGGGTTCTGCAGGTGTCACGAATTTTGCTTTGCACATTATATTTTACTGCGCGTTTTTGCAATATAAAAACTGAGTTAATGAGATGATCATTACACACCGCCCAAAATGAAATACCATACCTCAAATGAGATTCAACTAAAGAGTGATTAACAACCTCAGAAGAAGAAAATCCTAGTTCATTATTTGAGGTGACTCTCACCGCATAACATCTAGAAGACAATTTTCTGTTCAAAATTTTAACATGCTTATCAAATTTGAATCTGGAATCATTGGTGTTTCCTATAACATCATCACTCATGACTAGCTCATCTAATTCACCTTTGAATGACATCATATTAGTTTTTGTCAAATTCATCACCACCTGATTTGAATCACACCATATTTTAACCTCAGAAATGTCCTCCTTGATGATATCAAGAAGTGTTTCGGCATTTTCATTATGCTAGAAAATTCTTGTATCATCCGCGAACAGCGTTATTTTTCCTGATATGTTAGCTCTGTCCAAGTCATTCTCATGTAGAGTAAAAAAAGCGTTGGTCCAAGTATAGAACCCTGAGGCACACCACATCCTACATTCGACTCATCGGAGTATGTTCTCATTTCCATATTTCGACCTGACAGATATGACTCTATCCATTTCTGAGAGACACCCCTGAATCCCTAGTGGCAGAGATTATACACACCATAGATGATAGTGGTAAAGCTTTCGCAACAGTATTCCGTGGTTCATACAGTCGAACGCCTTAGATAACTCACAGAATACTGCCGCAGCTATACTTCACCTCGATTTATCTCTGTGTAAATGTCCAATAAAAAAGAAAAAGTTGCATCATTTGTATCTTTTCCAGCTTGAAAATCGAAGTGAGCATTAGTGATGATATTATTTTTTCTAAGAAAGCGATAATCTAATCTCAACAAACTAATCTCTCAATAATTTTCGCTAATGTAGGAATAAGAGAGATAGGTCTATAGTTCGATGGGTTATCAAGGTAACCACCTTTGTGCAGAAGAATTACTACAGATATTTCCAGAAAATCGGGAAATGTACCATCTTGGAAAGTTTTGTTCATCAGATTAACCATGATATTGAGTGTATTTTCTGGAAGATTTTAAAATTTTCGTATATATAGAGATATCATCCTGCCTGAAATAGTTTTATTTTCGAAAAATGTTATAACATTTCTCACCATCAGTGTTATTCGAGCTTCTCAGCAACCAATGAGAATATGTACTTATATCCACATTCCAGCACGCGGTTATAATAATTCACTTTCAAAGTAGAACCAAATGTCCTCGATCGGTATAATGAAAACTTATTTTATTTTATCAGAGTTTCATGCAAACCCGCTATTTAAACAGGACTAATGCAATTTAACGCCCTATAGTTAATTCCAAAATGCACATTTTTTCCGAAACCTGTGACAGTCCTGGAAATACATTCCTTCTTAGTTGTGAACTGTATACAATGAACGACATTTCGGAGTCGGTTGACCTATAAAGCATATAATCTGAGATTAGCCAAACACTCCAAGTAATAACACTTATTCTTCTGATATTCCAGAGAACACCCACTGTCGTTCCTGCTCAAACTTATGATCCTTCTGTAGATGCCGAAGCCATCAAGGTTGCCATGGAAAGTTGGCTGATTAACGATGTCGCTATCACCAGAGTCCTTTCCTTGAGGTCCAGGGAACAAAGATTTCATGTTGCAGTACAGTTCAGAACTCTTTATGGAAAGGTTGGTTCTCATTCTTCCAGATTCTTGTGATTTGCTGTCCTCGTCTCATTCCAAAAATATCACTGTGCTTGAATGTTCAACCTCGAAAACCTAGAGAAAAAAAAGCATTATTTCAAAAATGTGGAATCGCTAACCGTGTACCTGAACTTGCTGCAGAAGGAATAATATTTCTATTCAATGTAAACAATCTGATATTTTCTGATTACAGGAGATTTTGCGTTTGACAAAAAAGCATGTATAAAAGTGGTTAGGTATGTAAAAACACGAAGGAATAAGACATATAAGCGAGCATATGAGTATACATACTTAATTTTATACAGATTTATTATTATTGGTTCAATTATTCTTATCAGGAATCGAATATAGAATATACAGAGATTTGACAATTACCTATACCTATATATATTTGGGCGTTTATCGAATGAATGCGACTGGTCAATTATATATCGTCACCTATGTCCTATGTTCCTGTTCGAAATTTAAATCTATACGTATTGAACTTACCCTTGCAGATGTCCTCAAATATAGAATACCGCATTGCTGTGAAAATGTACATCATAATTCATGACTCAGCAAACAGCACACTTGGTTCTTGAATACTTCACTATTGAAAAACAATGCTGTTTTGCACCGCTGTTTTCATCTAAGTACGCCAGTAGGCCTCAGCGCCAATGGCAAATGGAGATACGAGGGAAACGACTGAACTGAGTCAATGAGTCGAATGAGCACAGGCGTTCATAGTTGTCCTCCACTGCTGTATGCTATATACGTCACTGCAGGTATTTCAGACAAGCAGAGATTTTCTTGAACCAATGAGAATTGAAATTTATATCACTTTAAGTCGCGGTTTCCATGAAATAAGAAATATGCTTTTTATGTTGAGTAAATTCGTATCAAGAGATTTTCAGGAATGAAGCAAGCAAACCAATTGATTTGAGGCAAGTGTAAATTACTCAATTCAAATGAGAACTTCTCGTACGAAGCAATTTGTTTGAACAGGATGGATTTGTTTGATTGAAGCAATCCTTTTCATCTTCGTGGGTTTTGTAATAAGTGCGAACAGAAACCTCATAATATTAGGATCTTTTCCTTCAACTGAGTCATTTTATATGAACCCAAGCTGGTATTCAATTAGCCTGTATCAATAGCACATTCTTTCACAATATTTCTGATTCACATCCATTGGATGGTCTGAGTGTAAGCTGGTTGAAATGTTTTTTTGTGTGTCAATATTAGTGTATTCTCTGTGCCACACACAATTCCGTTTTTTTTTATAGATATGGGAAAAGTATCATTAGGAGTTGAAAACTATATCTGCTCATCTTCATTCAATCAGGTATCTTGATTTCCAAATGGTCCTTTTGATTTCTGATATTATTAATTTCAATAAGAGTGAAATGTGTGATTCCGATGTCCGGAGAGAAGTGCTACTGAGGTTTACTAGCTTATAGGTGAGGATATTCAATGTAATCTCCTTCAAAGTGTGCTCATCTGTGCGAGGACCTGTGCGAGGGGGGTCCCATGTTTCCTGATATCTTGGTTATTTCATTGTGAATACTTACCTAAGTATTTATTCATTTATTTACGAATAGGAATACAAACCGGACTAACCCAAAAGCAGTATTCACAGATATGTCATATCTCATCATACATATACAGGGTGCGCAAGAGAGGCTCACAAAATCGAACATCAATTTTTTCAAATAGAACACCCTGTATTTCATTGCATTTTCATATTCTCCTTGAAGAGCTGAATTCAACGACCTAGCACACTTGGGGTCTAGCGGGAATGATTTCCGAGATATAGGGTGTGGAAAATCGAGATTTTTCATTTTTGGGAATTTTTTGTGTCAAAACTATTCATTATTGGTCAAAACGGCTCACATGTCCGTATCTCAACTTTTGATTCACTATTTACTCGTATTCGATTGAAACAAATACAGGGTGGTGTAGAATTCTCAGTTTCAGTCCGACACCAGCAAGTTTCTGTAGCAAAACAGAGTGATCGATTTTGTCGAACGCCTTGCTGAAGTCGGTATAGATAGCATCAACTTGTTGTTTGTCATTGAGCCTGTGTAGAATATACTCAGTGTAGGTGAATAAGTTGGAATCAACTGATCTCTCTTTCATGAAGCCATGTTGTTCAATGTTGATTATGTTCTTAACGTCGAAGAACAGCTTGTCGAAAATGATTGATTCAAAAATTTTTGCTATGATTGACAATTTTGAAATCGGTCTATAATTTTTCACGAGTAGTTGGTAACCGGATTTCAAGATTGGGATTATATTATGAGCTTTCTTCCAAACTGAAGGAAATACGCCTTCTTCGAGAGATTTATTGAAGATAATGTAGAGTAGGATTGCGATATATTCAGCACAGTTCTTGAGGAATGTTGTCGGTAGCTCATCTGGTCCCACTCCTTTATTCGAAAGATTTTCAAGTTTTTGAATAATAGATTGTAAGGAAATATTATAGGAACAAATGTTATTATATGATTCTTGATGTGTTACTATCTGAACAGGAAGAATTCTTTTTTGAATAAAAACCGAGAGAAAATAGTCAGAAAATATCTTGCAAATTCCGTTGCTTGTAATTATCCTATCTCCATCTCTCAGAGTGTTGATTGAAGCAGTACTGTTTCTTTTCGACTTCACGAATTGCCATAAATGTTTCGGGTTTGATTTGATACTGGTTTTACAATGATTAATATAGTTTTTGTAATCCTCTTCAGTTAAAAATTTTGAACGACCACGCAGTAGTCTGAATGTTGAATGTTAAATAGTCTATTTGATTATTGTGTTTTTTCCAGAAACCATGATATTTTCTCTTCTCTTTTATAACTTTTATGGTACTATACGCATACCATGAAGGATATCTTTTGTGAATATTGTTTTTTCTTGGTACTACAAAATCAATTATCGGAAAGATAGTATTATAAAACAGATCAGTTGATTATTCACTGCTCATGTTATGAAACAATTTATACTATTCAATTTTAGATAGTTCTGATTTTAGTAGCTCATAATCAACTTTACAAAAATCATGAGAGTTATACTTGCTGCTGTTGTTTGAGAAAGAGGATTTATAGAAGTTAGCAGTGAATTCTAAAGTATTATGATTTTTGTCTTCCGAAACTAGTGGTGAAGTGCTCAAGCGTACATTTTGAATGTTGAATGTGTTATTGAAAATCAGATCAATTGTGTTACCGGACGAATTTGTAAAATAATTACATTGCGATAATGCGTTGAAGGAGACAGTATCTATTAATAGGTTAGAAAATTGATCAAAAAAGTCATGAAGTTTACAGATATTGTTAATGCGGTCTGGCAACCATTTTATATTTGGAGAGTGGAAGTCCCCACAAATCACAAAAGTATCTTCAGGATTAGATAGCATTATATCATTCAGTTTCGTGCAGAAGCATACAAGATATGAGTATTCACCTGGTGGTATGTGAACACAACCGATATGCATTTTATTGTTGGTATTGTTTGTTGAAATGGTCACCCACAGATCTTCAGCATCTGAGTTCCAGGAGTCTTGGGTATAGCTGTTGAAGATTTTATTGACTGCTATTAGAACACCACCACCGTCGGATTTAGAAGATGAAGTTGTTTCACGGTCTCTCCGGTAAACGTTGAAGGAACTACAGATTATTTCTGAACTAGATATCGAGTTGTTCAACCATATCTCGGTCAAACATATGAGATACATATTCATGTAGGCTTCATTCCCTTTGGCAATGTCTAATATCAGATTCTGATTTGTGTAAAGTTATCGTATAATTCGTATAGTGTGATAAGCCCTCATTGAATAATTTGTTATATAAGGTGACGTATCATGGTTCTTAGTTCATATTGGTGTGAGTCAATTTCTTGATTATTGCAGAACTCCCACCACTTCCTTAGAGGGTATAGTCATATCGTTTAAGCGTGTTTGATGATATTGATGTTACTATGGCTTCCATTTCGACTTCCGGTAAGTTTTTCCGAAGAAATGCCTTCCTGATAGAATTGTTGATTCCAGGGCGAGGATGGCGCATGAAAGGGTAGGGTTATCTGAGAGGAGACAATAATTCCTTGTTAGGTTTGAATATTGAACGTGGTACCTCGCCCTATTGCGATGAATAAGTCTGATAGGTGGAAAACAGAAACTGAAGTACAATTATTATTATAAAGACGTGGCAATTTATATTTTATGAAAATAAACAGGGGTTGTGATTCGATTAAAAGGGTTGAAGGAGTTTCAAAACGATGGTAATAATTAGTGAAGTTTTACAAACGCATTAAGATAGATATTATAATGCCATAATGTCAATGAAGGTTGGTTCTTCAAACTAAAACTGTTCTTTCAAAATCAAAAATGGTTTTTCTCACAGTGACGGTACCAATTCGAAATTTTCTAAAGATAATTTAGAAACCTATTTTTTGGAAGTATAGTGGCAATTGGGGTTGCGATTTGGTCGAAAGAGTTGGGGGAGTTTCCAAACGACAAATGAATTAATGAAGTTATCTATAATCGCTCTCATATAGATATTGGAATACCATAATGATAAAAGTTACCAGTTTAATGATTTTTCTTGAATAACTTGAGACAACCTGTATAATATAAACAAAAACGAAGTACAATTATTATAAAAACTATTATCCATAGAATATGTACTCTCGTTTGCAAAGTACTGAAAAAATGTCAATGAAGGTTGGTTTTTCCTACTAAAACTATTCTTCCATGATATTTCTCACAGCGAATGTACCAATTTAAGATTTTTCAAAAATATCAAGTGGAGATAATTGAGAAATCCTTCTTTTGGAAATAAAGTGGCAATTGATGTTTCATGACAATATACAGGTGTTGCGATTTAATCAAAAGAGTTGGGGGAGTTTCCAAACGATGGTAAAAATTAATGAAGTCTTCTAAACGCATTCAGATAGATATTGGAATTCCATAATGAGAAAAGTTGCTGGTTTGATTTTTTATTTTTCTTCAATAACTTGTGACA